TTTCTTTCATTATTGCCCTCATGTCCACTCCTTAACATTTGTCTTCAAACTATGCTTTTTAGATTGGCCAGGAATAAGAAGTGGGCTCAATATTTAAATTAAAATAATTAATTTAAATGCGTATTTCTTTAAATGATGCTACTTTATCTACAAAGACTTGGCTGCAGCTTTATAATTATTCATTATAAGGTTATGAATTAAATTCTTAGACTCAGCACAATCTTTCTAAATTCTGATGGCAGTGGTGATTTAATGTATCTAGTTACACAGATAAAAGTGGTATTTCTAAATGTTGATAAACGTAATCAACAATCAGATGAATGCAAATTAAAAGAACATTAAAACAATGATGTATCACTTTTTGCTTATCAGATTGGAAGTTTCAACACCACAAATACATCTGGTGTTGGCAAGGGCAGAGGAAAGTGGCACACAATGTCGGTATTTCTTTAAATTGATGCTCTTTCTGAAAGGTAACCTGGTACTATGTCTAAAAAATTAAAATACAGCTGTCAAATGTTGACTCCTCAAAATCTCATCATAAAAACTGTTGAATTTATTAGATTTAATGCAGTAAGGAAGAATACTACTTTGACTGAGCCTTAGTAGTGACTCAAAATGGAAAATTAGACCCGATTATTTCTAGCGTTTAGGGGCTTGGGCTGAATATTTTTAGGGAGGGAAGGAAGTCTGGGAAATATTTGGGGTTGGGTAGAGTTTAACATACAGTAGTCTTATATTGGTGGGCACAGCAAGGCAACGGTTTTGAAGCATTTATTGATAAGTAAACTTTTGGTCTTCACAAGCAATCTCTTTAGTAAGTTCACAGTCTTATCTTCCAGGAACAAGTATTAACTGGAGCAAGCAACCAAGCTATTTTTGCTTGCTCCCAGAATTGTTTGATGTAAGGAGAGAAAAGTCTGTCTACTCCCTCCATTACTTAACATAGGGACAGGTAATTATGTTAGTTTCAGTTTTAAATGTTTATCCCTTTACCTGTCAATTCCTAATCTAGGAATTTATACTATGATTTTAAAAAGACAAAAATGAAAAAGTATACCTACAGAACATGTTTTATTTTCATTTTTTGAAGTAAAGATACAAAGTAGAAGCAACCTAAATGACAAGATAGATAAATTATGGGCCTACCTAACATGGATTACAACACAGCCATAAAAAAGGTATCTATTTTTTCATATTGACATAGAAATGACTCAGTGCTATATTGCTAAGGAAAACGTAGATAGATAGACAAATATATATAGATATATATAGATATATATAGATAGCTAGATAGCCAGCTAGGTAGAATTCAATGCCTCAGTGAGTATTTGTTTGGCTCCCAGCAGTGATGTGCTAGAGCTGGCCAATGCAGGCTTGAGAGAGCACAGGGCTCTTGAGTGTGCAATGTATAAATTTCTTCTGAACTCTGCAGTCAGAGACTCCATGTTGGCTGCTTGAAATTAGCCACAGTGGCAGTATTTAGAGTATGTACATCAAGGAAATCAGCACACCACTGGCTTCAAATAACAGAAAACATGACTAGCACAGACTTATATTCTAAGATCATTAATTGTTTAGGTCAGAAGGAAGTCCAGGAATGGGTCAGCAACGAAATAGTGTCATGGGGGATCAAGACTCTTTTTATTATCTCCTCAGTAGGCGTGCCCTTATATTTCAGTATTCAGAACTGGTCACGTAGGCAGCCTAGCTACCAGGGAGCCTTGGGGAGCCAGTAGCTGGCAGTAGGAAACAGGATAGTGTCATCAGAACATTCATTTCCTGAAGTTCTACTTGGTACTTCTACAAATTGAGGTTTTCAGCAAGGATGGGGTGGGAAATGGAAAGGGTCTAACAGTGTGTACTAGTGTGTATACACATGCATAAATATAAAAATAAATGAATAAACATGTCTTTTTTTAAATGTATTTATTTATGCATCAAAAATGTTGCATTTCTTTACAGAAATAAAATACATTCCTAACACTTTTTATATCTAGGGTGGGAAGGCAGGACTTTGGGGAGACTTTTACTTTTAATAATTGCCCTGATCTAAGTGACTGTGTATTTATTATCAGAACAAATGGTAAAAATGTGTGGTTTTTTGAAAAAAATTAGAATACATGTGAAACCACTTTTAGCATAGGAATGGCACATATGTTTAATAAATAATGTTACCTGGATTTAAATCTTTTATATTAGCCTATATATCTTAAAGCTTTTAATGTAAGTCCATGTTTACCTCTTATTACATTTATTTGTGTTTTTCATTGCTAATGTGAATGAGATGGAAGATTTATTGTGAGATAGGAGAAGGCAAGGCTGGGAAGGCAGGTAGAGACAAAAATAAGGGACCGTGATTGATGGAGGCAACCTTTGGTTTTGATTCAGTAAGGACTGAGGAGCCATTAAAAGAATTAATGAAGAGGGCAACATAATCAGAGTTATGCTTCACGAGAATCATTTCCGTTGTAGCACAAAGAACAGGGACTGAAGGAGCAAAGAACCAGAGCCACAGAGAGCAACAATATGACAAGGCCTTGCAGTTCTAAGGGTTGATACCAAAGCAGCATAATAATCAAACACCTGGTGTTTGAACCTTCTGGGAGAGGTTACTGACAGGTCAAAAGGATGTGGCTCATCTGGTGCTTAAAAAACCCTGCTGCTCACATGCATACAATCAGCTCATAACACTCCTTTCGTGTCAGAATGGTGCATATGTGCCCTTAGGCCTACTACTGATTTTTTTCCTTTTTTGATCCTCACCTCTCATATTTCCCAGTTTAAAAATGCCCTAGATGTGAGTTGTCAACTTGTAAGTAAAAATGTTGAGAATTTGCACAGAAGGAGGAGGTGAGTGACTTGTATCAGGCCACAGGGAACATCCTGATTACAAGTGCCTGGATATGAAACAATAAGGAAACAAATAAATGAAAATGTTTAGCAGGAGCCAGAGAAAGAAGACAGGGTATAAAGAAAAAGTAGGTAGGACTTAGTGATCCTCAGATGTAGGAATTGAGAGACTGAGAGAGAGGAATATTTTCACTTGGGTGTCTAAGAGATTAGAAGGTTTATAAATAGGTAGAGGAGCAGTTTGGGGGTGCTCCAGTGAGAAGCTGAGAAAGATTAAGTTTTAGATACACTGAATTTAATATTGCCAGACATAAAGTGGCACTGTTCAAATGAGTTAAAAATTCAAAACCAGAGTTCAGTTTATATTATGATGTCAGATGGACATAAAGAATTGAAAATTGTGGACCCAGATCTCACACTTGTGGGAATGGATGACATCATCAAAGAAGCTAATATGGTAAATTGTGAAGCTTGAGGGCAAAAACTGAGAAAGTATCGAGGAGACAGGCAAGAAAGGGATAACTGGTACCTTGAGCAGCAGCAAAAAGGTCAGAGAGCTGGTGAAACCCTGAGTCTCCCCTACTCTGGAGAGAAATCTGAGGACAAAGTGACAAGAAGTCTGGGATTTGGTAATGAGGTCATTATTGACTCTGGAAGCTGTTCTGGTAGTGTGGTGGTGAGAGATGAAATAATACCTCAAAATAAAGAATGAGTATTTTGACTTCTGAGGCTAAAAGAAGAGTGAGCTAGACAGCATCTTTCTGTAAAGCTTCCCTAAGTAGTAGCGTGTTAAGCAAATGAGAGACAAGAGAACTAACCTTTTAGCTATTAGAAAAACAAAGAAAATCTCCAAGTATTTGAAAGCAGTCTGATTTATTGTGTAATTATTAGAACTTTTCTGCTCAACATCCTTGATTAGCTTTGTCGTTTGGTAAATTAAGTATGACTTACAAGGCCCTCTATGATCTGGGTTCTCCTTCCTTCTCCAGCCTGACATCCTACTCCCCACTCCCGCCCACCCACAAGACTGCACACACAGCTTTGTTCAGTTTTCCCAAGGTGTCATAGTGTTTCCTGTGTTGGTGTCTATAGCTTCCATGCCTTCCAATTCCTTTTAGATTGGTGAATCTATAACCATCTTTGCAGACTAAGCTCAGAGTTCTCTATAAAGCCTTTCTGGTTGTTCAGGGTTGATTTTAACATTTCCCTCTTCTAAATTTCACTGTACCTATATCCTATAGCCATATAGTTCTGGGGTAGGCATATAGTCTGTATTCAACAAATGCTGAATGAATAAATGAAGATCGCAAAGTTTTCCCCCTGCACTCATTTTTCATTATAAGTAGTATACAGTACAGTATAGTACTGTTGATACTTCTTACTGTACAATATTCAATTTTGTGATTCTACTAAAACACAAATAAAACATTTTATAAATATTAATTAAAACTAGTAAAGTAAAAAAAAAGTAATCTTTCCTTTCGTTTCTAAGTGTTAGAATGGACTATTTTCCTTTCCATAAACTCTATTCTTTGAAGCAATTATCCCCTTCCTGGCTAAATTATTGGGAGGCACGATGGGCCTCCTTTTTTAATCTAAATGACTAAACTCAAGCCAATTAAAGTTTCAAGGCTACAGGAATCAAGGAGGTTTTAATCTCAATTTGTATTTGCATTTACGACCGTAGGCTCTCCCAAGGGAGACGGAGGAAAGACGGCCCTACACCTGGTTTCAGGTTGATTACAATCAACATGGGACAATTTTAGCATGAAAGGCTCATTTTGTATTAAACACTTTTTTGGGAGGAGATGGTGTAGGTAAAAATCCTTAATCAGAATCCCGCCAATTTACATTTTTCTTTGGGGAATAGGCTTTCAAAAGCCAAGGAACAAGAGTATTTGGTTTTCCAGTTTCCCTGTTAGCAGATTGGGACGCGGCTACCGGGAGAAATCGAAGCATAAATTATCAACCAGGAACGGAGCACACTGGAGTAAATGCTAATGCGCCGAAGACTTTTTTTCGAGGTACGCAGTTATGTAATACTTATAATGAAAGGCGCTACAACAGCATCAGCGCACTGACCCGCATTCTTCCAGCCCTGTTACAGGGCTGGGACACAATGGGGATGGAGGAGGGGACGAGAAGCGCAGCGCATGAAGAGAGCGGTCAAAGCAGCGGGAAACCAGCCACTGGCGCACAAGTCGAGCCCAGAGAATTTCCCCGACTCTGGCACCAGACCACACAGGCGGAGGGGCTGCACTGGATCAGCTGGGGAACTGGCTTAAAAATGCAGGATGTGGGATCCGACCTCTTCAGATTTTTTTATTCAGGAGGTGGGGAAAAGGGGTCAGGGTTTAGAAACCTGCCTTTTCACAGTCGGCTCTCTGGGGATTCTGGGACGCTGACCCGCGCACCCCTCGCTGAGACCACCACACTGGAGCGTGGGCTGAGGCGTCCTCACGTGGCGAGGGGCCGCGCCAGGACTAGGCGCGGTGGCGAGCGAGCCGTTCCTCAGCAACAGCGCATGCGCCGGCTCGCCTTCCAGAAGCGCCGCGCAGCTTCGCGGGCCGGGATCTTCCAATCGGAGCCCGGCGTTCTCCGAGTGCGTATCCCCCAGCTGCGGGCCGCAGGAGGCGGAGGAAAGGGGCGGGCTGGGGCGCGCCGGGAGGCCAGTGAAAGTCTGCGGCGCTCTGTGAGGGAGGTCGAGTCTCCGGAAGCGGCCGTTGTAAACACCGTTTCCCTGAGGCTAGTCCCCGTGCTGTCCCCTCTGTGCTGTTTGTTCCGCCTCCCAGGGTCCTAGAGTCCGTCGAGTTCCAATAGCTTTTGCTCCGACCCCGGGATCTGCTTGGGCCTCTTTCTGCCTTTGAGATTTGAAGCGGCACCCAGGGGTTTGGGGTGTGCAGTCTGGATCACAGGACCACCCCCTGAGGTAACCTCCGGGTGTGGGGGCTTGGAGGCGAACGACTTGGGCGGGGAGGTGTTGAGAGGAACGGTATGGGGGACTGCAGTGAGGGTTATGGGGTACCCCCAAGTTAGTTTGAGGCTAACTGGCTGTTCGTGTTGTCCGTGGGGACACGCCTCCGGCTCCCAGGGCTGGGTCTCTCCGCCTACCTGGAGGAAGGTCGTCTTGGAGCCTTCCAGCCAAAGTCTGCTGCCTCAGTACTCTGAGAACTGGACACGGACCAGAGGGCTGGACCCAGAGGGCCTGGGCTTGGAGCGTCTTAGGTTTACAACTCCGGACTGCCGGGCTCTTTCCCTCCCAAGAATCAGTAAGTCCTTCGAGAACAGGGACCACATCTTTTCCACCTTTAAAATAAAAATGCCAGCCACGCACTAGACATTCTATAAATGCTTGATAAACGAATGAATGAGTTGTGCTGGGCTTTCTGTAGCTTCTACTCCATGACTCTTGAATGACGGAAAAGAGAGCTTTGAGTTTTTCCGAGGTTGTACAATTTCTGTAGAAGTGGAGCCTCCTTTTGACTGTTCTGTATTCCACGTAATGTTTATCCTAGGCAGATACACTCCTGCCCCACGCCTCCGTTTTAATCAGATCTCCAGTGATACTGGATAAGTTTACTTGAGAAGCAATTTCAGTTGGTGTTCAACCCTTTTGAATATATTACATACTGTTATTTTATAGTTGTTCTCATAATCTTGGAGGAAAGAACTTACCATTTTTTTGTCACTTGTTTTATTGAACAGTTAGTGCCTTATAACAACAAACAAGCCTGTAACAGGAAAAGAATATGGTTTCCCATGAAATGAAGAGGAAACAAAGGGAGTGCAACCTGCTAAAAGGAAAGTTGAGGGTAGTAGTTTTGGTCTGGACCCAATCCCCCTGGCATTAAGATTCCTATGTGTCAGATAAGGAGGATGGTCTTGGTCTCTAAAGTCCCATTTAATCCTAAAATTGTTTAATAGTCTCATCCTGCTTGTCTTGGTCTTGTCTTGATGAAAGAACCAATATTTCCTTTAAAGGTGAGCTCTCTGTTTGCTGATAGACACTCCTAACACATGTGTGGTTACTATTGAAGGAATATGGCCCATTGAAGACAGCACTGTGTTATGAAAGAGAATGGATTTAGGAGTCAGCCATAATGTGGGTTTGAATTCTAACCCTCCCACTAAATATCTACACAAGTTACTCAGTCTCTCCAAACCTCAGTGTTCTCATCTGTGAAATGTGCATAATAATCTCTTGGATTATTAGAAGATTCAGTGGAGGTCACATACGCTTAGTGTAGTATCTGGCATGTAGGAAGTGCTCAATAATAGGAGTTTTTATCTTTTTACTTCCCCACCCCTCCCTTTCCCCCTAATCTGTATGGACACACCGAGAGAAATGAGTCCATTCTGGATGACCCACAGAAGGGCTCAGATGTAAGGCAGGAAAACTTTGTACCAGCAGTGGCTCTGAAATATAAAGTAAAATTGTTCTTTCTGGCCAATACTTAACTCTCAGGATGTCTAGACTTGATCCGTTGGCCTCAATTGCCCTATAACTTATTTCTAAAAAACTTCTTACTGAAGAATGATATATATAACAACCGCTCATCTATTTTAGTAGGATGGTGAGAAGAGTCCCACTTGACTACCAAGAGAGGATTAATCTATTAACGTACCAGCATAAAACGCTGATTTAAACTTTGCCTTTATTTGCCACTGCCCAAAGGATGGCCTAGTTTTGGCCCAAGCCTGTGGAAATCTTACCTGGATTGATAAATCCAAGTTTGAGTCATCTTTCATTAAAAAGACCCTGACTTGTTGTTTATTTGGTTGTGGGAAAGAATGATCCGTGTTTAAGAAATCTGCAGCATGGAACAGAAATGCTTCCTTGATAGGTGAGGTCTCACATGCTCCCTGGCTCGATGTCTTGAAGGTCGGTAGCAAGGTACAGAGTAGAGCTCTGGAGTCAGCCAATTTGGGTTTGAATCCTAACTCTGTCACTTACTAGAGATGCAATTTTGGACAACTGACTGAATATCTTTAGGCTTCAGTTTCCTTGGGTGTAAAATGGGAATATTAACAGTATCTTCCCTTTGGGGTTGGTGTAGAGTGAAATGAGGTAATCTATAGAAAGTTTTTAGCATGATACTTGGATAAGGGATGTTTGTCACAGTAGGAATGATGACAGGGAGTGGCTTTGAGGTATCCATTTGTTCGTAAATGATGAATATTTTCAAATGGAAAGCATTATTTAAAGAGTTACACAGCTACTGAAGAAGAGAAAAGCTGACATTGATTACATATTATAAGAAATCTTTAATTATACATATAGATTAGCCAAATTATTGTTTATCTTAACTTGTGGCATTTCATCAAGAAGTTTCAAGTAAAGTTAGGAGGATGTATTATGTGGGGACCCTGCAATTCTTTGACTTCCTATTCCACTGATATTTTTATTACTGTATCTAGCTAGTTTACCTTTCTCATCATTTCTTCTTTTCATTCTAGTGGAAGGAAAGGGAGATGTTGCTACATTTTCTCTGCCATATTCAATAGTATAGAAATCCCATCATAGTTTAAACTCAAGCATGCACCTGTATTTGGCCCTTAGTTGATTTAGTCTTCCTAAAACACTCAGAGGTAGGCCCTTGAACCCTAGTGTCATCGAGAGATGATATCAGAGAGAGAGGAAGCAAATAAGAGTTTGATGAAGGAGACTATAGGATTTTTTTTCTATAATGATGAATTTTAAAAATTGAGCTATAATTCACATAACATTAAAGTCATCATTTGAAAGAGTGCAATTCAATGGTTTTTTAAATATATTAAGTTGTACAGCAGTCACCACTATGTAATTCTGTCAGTCCCACAAAGAATCCTCATACCTATTAGCAGTCAGACCCATTTCCGCCTGTTTCTGCCCTCTGACAACCACAGGTCTAGTTTCTGTTTCTATAGATTTACCTATTCTGGACATCTCATTTAAATGGAATTATACAATATGTGTCCTTTTGTATCTGGCTTATTTCACTTAGCGTAGTGTTTTCAGTGTTCATCCATGTCGTGGCATATATCAATCTTTCCGTCCTTTTTATGGTTAAATAATATTTCATATATCATTTATCTGTTGGTCAGTTAATGGATATTAGGGTTGTTGTCACTTTTTGGCTATTAGGAACAATGCTACTGTGAACATTTGTGTACACGTTTTTTGTTTAAGTCCAGTAGTTACCTTAGAATGTGTCTTGGTGTTGGTTGTGCTGGGTCAGTATTCTCAGATACGCAGTTTGTGTTTTCAATGTGTAGATCAAAATCTTTTCAAATTCCAGGAAAATTTTCTTAAATTACAGTTTTTAGTGTTCTGTTTCCCTTGGTTTGATCTTATTCAGGGACTCCTGTTACCTGCCTGTTGGTTATTCTTTGCCTGTTTTCAGTATTTTGTCACTTTTTCTTGAATCATTTTGATCTCTTTCTTCATTTTTTAAAAAAATATGTTACCACTGTTTCATTTCATATGTCCTTTAAGGCATTTTTTTGGTCATGTCTGTTTACTCTTGTATTTCCTCTAATTTAGTCTTCATTACTGATATGATCTTTTCTTTTATTTCTAATTCTTTCTGATCTTTGTCACCTTGTTTCTGAGGTTTTCTAATTCTGATTCTTATTCTTTTTGGTCTTAAATCATTTTGTTAGTGTCTTTTAGCTCAGTTTGAAATAGTAAGTTATAATTTTCATCTGTTTTATGGGCACATCGTTCTGTTGGTCTTTTGTTTGTACAAGTCCATTCTTCTCTTCACTCTTTTTCTAATATTCAGTTTGTATGGGATTTGACCACATTACTTTTCTGTTGCTTATTTTTATGGAAGGTTCCTTTACATGAACTTTGAGCAAGGTTTGGGAAGACTTTTCTAACTTCGTGGAACCCTCCCTATCTTTTGTTTGTTGTGAGTGTTAAAAACTATGGTGGCTTGTTTCTGAGATTTCCTGATTCTGTTTCCTCCTACAGTTTGGTCTGGGCCATCTCTTTATTTTGTCTTAATTTCCCCTATCCTGCTTAATTTTGATTCCATCCTCTACTGATTCTCGTTAGTGTGGACCCCTGTCCAGGAAGGGGACCTCGACAGGTCAGTTATGAAAGTCCATGAGGCTGGACTGTATCAGCCCTTTCAAGATTGTCTTCCCATATGCCTGTTACATGTGCCTGTTTTAGCCATGGCTCTCAGATTGTCCTGCAGTGCTTTCCCTTAACTGTCTGTTGACTCTTTGGGGACTCTTTCAGATGCAGCCTTGTTATTTTCGTCTGCTTTCCCCTCTGTAGACACCTTCACTCCCATACAGATTTTGTGGCTGTTGATGGCTTGCCCTTATTCATTTGTATTTTGTAATTCTTTTTGTTATAAATGTTTCCCATGATTTTCTAGATTCTCTATTGAGTTACCTTAGATAGGATTTTTTACAAACTCTGTTATTTAAATTAATGAGGAAATTAAACTATAGAAAAACAAAGAGACTTTATAAAAGACACACAGACAGGGCTGGTGTGAGAACCAATTTTTGTATTTTACATGTCTTTCAACTTTTTTTTTTTTAACTCTGCAAGAGCATTTCCAAGCTTCTTATCCATACTAGTTTTCTATTGTTGTGTAACAAGTTACCACAAACTTAGTGGCTTAAAACATCTCTCATTTATTATTTCTCAGTGTCCATGGGTCAGAAGTCTGGGCACCAATTAAGTGGGCCCTCTATTCAGAGTTTCACTAGCTTGTGGTCAATGTGCGGCTGGCTATAGTCTCATCTGGAGGCTGGATGGCAAAGAATCTGCTACCCAGCTTATTCAGGTTCTTGGCAGAATTTGTGTGCTGTTGATATCTGTATAACTAAAGGATGCAGTTTTTTACTGCCTGTGGGTGACGCTGCCTGCAGCTTTTTGTGACGTGGCCCTCTCCATAGGCAGCTCACAGCTTGGCAGTTCGCTTATTCAGGTCAGTAGATTGTCTGTCACTTCAATCGGCTAAGACAGAGTCTTATATAACATGCAGTCATCGGGGTGGCATCCTATTACCTTTGCCATTTTCTGTTGGTTAGAAGCAGGTCACAGGTTCTGTCCACAGTAAAGGGGAAGGTATTATACAAGAGAGAAACACCAGGGGGCAAAGATCATCTGCCTACTACATTAGCTGTATCAGTGACCTGGGAATCAATGAAACTTACACCTGAGCTATAGAAGACACTTTCTTTCTAGAAGACCATTCAGATCTGAAGATGTTCCAGACTGAAATAATGCACTGAAAAATGATGGTTTTCTTCAATTTAGTTTTATTGAAACAACTATATTTAAATTTGGTAAACTACCTCTTCTTGTAGTTCTCTGCCCAAGATCAAGACAAAACTAAAAACAGCAGACATTATTAAGACCCTAACCATATAAATCCTTTTCCTGTGAGGGACATAGGTGTTCTGTTTGTGCCTGTTGTGACACATAGGCACACACATGTACATGTGTGTAGTAATCCTTTTCACAAAAATAGAAACATTTTATCTATGTACTTTTTAGTCTTGGACATTACTCTTAGGTATAGAGGAATCCCTTCCTTTTAGGTTCTGATTCTTTTACTTCTGTTTTGAAGGCAGTTTGCCTGGAGTGTGAGCTTTGGCGGCATGGTGGTCAGATGAAAAGTTTTGGGATTCAGTATCAGAAGAGCTTGACTGAGTTTTTGGTGTCCCCTACCTAGTAGCTGACTGGCCTTAGGCAAGTCATTTAAGCCTCTCTAATCATGTTTCCTTGATTGAAGTGAAGATAATAGACCTGAGATAAGGTAGTTTATGGTTTAACTGTATCCACAGTGACATTGTAGAAAGAGCTTGGGCTTTAGAGTTGGATAGTTATGAGTCGGAGTTTTGGTCCTGTAACTAGGCGACTTTTGACAAAGTTCTAATCTCTGAGTCTTAGTTTTCTCTGTTGAAAATGGGCTAATCTTTACATTGCAGTGTTGTAAGGATCAGAGGTCTATAGTTCTATGTATAAATAATCAAGTATAGTGCTGGGCACTGTAGCAGGTGCTCACTAAGTTAATGATAGTGGTATTTGTTTGTCTACCACTGTTCACAAACTTAGTCTTTTAGGTACCTGAAGAAATGGGAGTTCTCCCTGCCCCCCAGTCTTGGTAAAAGTTCCATCCTCTTTGTCTTAGGACAGATTATTCTGCTATCACCTACGAGAATCACTATTTTAAAGATTCCTTCTGTTTGGCTCTAGGAGCCATTAGTCAGTTCTCAATACCTTAGTTGAGTCTATATCTCATTTAGCTTATTTGAGTCCCTTTTCTTTCAGTGATTTCTCTGAGTTGTTTACTGGAAAAAGGGACAAATCAGTTTAGGTTTTTTTTTTTGGTTTTCTAGCTATCCCTGTACACCTATAATTTCACTACACAATATTTTGTTACATCTTTACCCCAGACCAAATCACCCCAAGTATTGCCTACTCCTTTCATTTATCAGGGATCATTATATTTTCTCAGAGGATTTGTGTTCAGTAATACAAACTGACAGTGACTGTGCACTCTGTGTGTGCTGTATGTATTATTTAAATCTAAAATATGTGAGACTGATACAGTTATCTCCTTCTTATGGTTGAGAAAACAAGCTCAGAGAGTTTAAATGACTTGCCCATGGCCACATACTTGTAAGATGCTTATTGGTATCCTAGCTCATATCTCTCTAAGATCAAATCTCATGGTTTTTTTTAGGATATTGGACTTCTACTAAGAGCTATTTGTGAGATCTTCATATTTGTGTCTATTTGGACTTAGTTAATTATTTTTATCTCTCTGATTGAAATGCTTACCCAGAGATTCCTTCATACTGTAGTAAAGTAACTTACTTTAAATGTTTGACTCTGTATGATTTGGAGTATCTCCCATAAAAGAGTGCTTCAGAGAGAAGGCCAGGGAAAGGGACAAATACTCTCCTCTTTCCTTCTTCCTCTTTAGTCCCTTGGGAGAAGGCTTTTGCAAATTACCATAAGCTCTTTTGTGTGTGGGAGTACTTTGGCCTCTTTGGATGTAGCATTGCATTAAAAATACCTCATTTATGAAAAAAGCTTTTGGGAACCAAAAAATGTTTCTGGTCTTCATTTTCTTTCAAACTCAATTCTGTGCTCTAGTGATAGGCACTAACTTATTCTTCCAGTTTAAATACAATTTGTCACTCTTTTATTACATTTATTTGTGAAATTAAAATCATCCAATAGCATTAGCTTATTCTTACAAGAAGGAATATCTTTCTAATGTTTTGTCACGTTTGTTTCTAATCTTTTTTTTTTAAAGAAAACACTGTGGCTTTTTAAAATATACGTATTTACATATTTTTTAGAGAATGACTTAAAAAATACAAGTAAGTCACAGAAAAGAAAAATCACCCATAGTCTCAGAACTTATATAAAAATCTACTATTATATTTTTTACTGTTTTGACAGACTTCAGCCCATGTGACCTGTAACTAACAGACATCTCGGACAGTTTTAATCATCAAAAACGAAGTGTATTGTTAAGCAACAGTGGGGTATTTTGGAAGAGTTGGAAGACTTGTCATGAGTATAAACACTACAAGTAATGCCCCTGGTGATATCCAAAGGTAAGCCTTCAGTCTCTTCCTCTAGCTGAGGAATGCTTCTGGCTGCAAAGAGCAAGAAGTAAGTGATTAGAGGGGCTGATTATAAGAATTCTTATGGGAAAGTGAGGGAAGTAGAAATTTCATGAAATTAGAGGAGCAGGATTGATGCCTTATAGGAATCAGAACTGGATCTGGAGACTGTGGCTCTTTAGGCTCCTTAATTAGCTCAGTGTATGAAAATCAGTGTCTGTACTTTCTCTGGTCCATAGAGACATGGTTATTCTTTTTCACTTCTTTAAGTCTTTTCTTCTGCTTATTCATATTTCTGTGTTGACATTACTTGATTTGCCATAATCCCTGTGGTTCTATTTCCTCCTCTTTCCTCATGGCCCCAACTCTGATTCATCACTCTGGTTAAGCATTCTGTTGGTTTTAGCTCCGGTTGCTAATTGTTCCTTTACTTGGAGTTTACATCCAAAGAATTGCTTTTGCTCACCTGTTTGAATCATTGATATCTGCCTTTGTGTGAGGTGCCTTCCTTTAGTTTATTGTTCACATCTGATGTAAATAATATTAAAAATCTCAGTCTGTAATATAAAATGGAGCTGTTACAGAGAGTACAACTCAAAGTGTGGTTTACAAAGAAATAAGTACAAAAATTGAAAGTGTTTAGAAACTTTTATAATCACATAACAGTAATTTTCTGTTTGTTGAATCTAATAATAAAACACTTAGGGTTATATTTTATCTGTTTAAAAAAATTTTTTTTAGTTATCACTTTTAGATGTATTTTACAGGAGCAGTGAGGGTGTGTGGATAGTCCTTGCTCACATTTAGTTTGAAAAGAACTGATTTTGAGCACTTTTTCAGCAAGAATGTGTGGATTGGGCAAGCATCATGACTAACATGTAATTCACCTTATAAGTGGGATTTACTGTATAAATATTTTCCACCTGTCTTTAGGAGCTACCTTAAATCCTTTCTGCAGCAAGATAGAGAATACATAAATAAAATGTAAACATTTTCTTTGCTAAAATTTTATCTCAAGGAGAGTTTTTTCTTTTATCAAATGTTGCAAGGGTTTAGAGTGATGTCTCATCAGCTGGTTCTTCACCACCATGATGAGGAAGATGGTTGAAAACTGCTAAATAAAATATCTTCAAGGTTACTTCTTGCTCTGATACCCTGTTTTGTATATGTGCATATATATATTTATTGATATGTATATTTTAATGTAGATAATGCATGTGTTTTTAGAAAAGTTTTAAAAATACAAATAAATAAAACAATGAAACTACTTATAATCTTATCACTTAGGATTAACTACTGATAGTATTTTGGACAAGTATTTACTTGTCCAGACCTTTTCTTTTGAAAATATAAATATATTATATAAATACATATTTTCAAAATTAGAATATTATTTCACATTATTTAGTATCTTGCTTTTTTAATTTTGGGAGGAACATCTTGCCACATTAATCTACATCTGCCATAATTTTGTTGTTGATGTATAGTTAATTTACAATATTGTGTTAGTTTCTGGTGTACAGCAAAATGATTCAGTTATATATATACATATTCTTTTTCATATTTTTTTCATTATGGTTTATTATAGGATATTGAATGTAGCTTCCTGTGCTATACAGTAGGACCTTGTTGTTTATCTGTTTTATATATAGTCATTTGTATCTGCTAATCCCAGACTCCTAATTTATCCCTCCCCCACCTCCTTTCCCCTTGGGTAACCATAAATTTTTTTCTACGTCTGAGCCTGTTTCTGTTTTTTAAATAAGTTTATTTGTATTATATTTTAGATTCCACATATAAGTGATATCATATGGAATTTGGCTTTCTCTTTTTGATTTACTTCACTTGGTATAATAATCTCTAGGTCCATTCATGTTGCTGCAAATGGCATTAGTTCATTCTTTTTATGGCTGTGTAGTATTCCTCTGTGTGTGTGTGTGTGTGTGTGTGTGTGTGTGTGTGTGTGTGTACACCACATTTTTATCCATTTATCTGTTGATGGATGTTTAGGTTGCTTCCAAGTCTTGACTATTGTAAAGGGTCCTGTTGTGAACATTAGAGTGCATGAATCTTTTTGAATTAGTTTTCTCCAGATACATGCCCAGGAGTGGGGTTGCTGGATCATATGGTAACTCTATTTTTAGTTTTTAAAGGAACTTCCATACTGTTTTCCATAGTGGCTACACCAATTTACATTCCTCTCAACAGTGTAGGAGGGTTCGTTTTCACTAGACCCTCTCCAGCATTTGTTATTTGTAGACTTGTTAATGATGGCCATTCTGACCAGTGTGAGGTGATATCTCATTGTAGTTTTGATTTACATTTCTCTAATAATTTGTGATGTTGAACATTTTTCATGTGCCTATTGGCCATCTGTATGTCTTCATTGGTGAAATGTCTATTTAGAAATGTCTATTTCTACTCATTTTTTGATTGGGTGGTTTGATTTTTTGTTACTGAGTTGGAAATTATTGTTGCTTGCATCGTTTGCAAATATTTTCTCCCCTTCCGTGGGTTGTCTTTTCATTTTGTTTATGGTTTCCTTTGCTGTGCAAAAGCTTTTAAGTTTGATTAGGTCCCATTTGTTTATTTTTTATTTCTATTACCTTGGGAGACTGCATCTATCATAATTTTTACTGGCTGAGTTACTCTTAAGAATTTGAGAATCTGGATCAGTGATGTTATTTAAATTCTGCTATTTACCACTAATCTACCTTCTGTGTCTTTTTTGAACAATTTCTATAAAAGGTATCATACAATATATGGTAATTTGTGTCTGGCTCCTTCCACTAGGCATGTTCTTCAGATTTATCGTGGAGTCACAGGTACTACAAGTACTTTGTTTCTTTTTATTGCTGAATATTATTCCATTTTACAGATACACTATTTTGGTTATCTACTCACCAGTTGATAGACATTTGGTTGTTTCCATATTTTGGCTATTACAAATAATGCTGCTATGAACACTTATTTCCAAGTCTTTGTGTGGGCATATGATTTCATTTCTCTCGTGTGGATTCTTAGGAGCACCATTACTGCTTCATACAGTAAACTGATGTTAAAATTCTAAAGAAATTGCCAAATTGTGTTCTAAAGTGGCTGAACCATTTTACATTTCCACCAACAATGTATAAGGGTTTTAGTTTCTTCATCCTCACTAACACTTGTTATTTCCTGATGTTTTGATTGTAGCCAGTCTAGTGAGTGAACAGTGGTATGTAATTGTGTGTTTTTTTTTCTTTGTGATTTTAGTTTGCATTTTCCTAATAAGTGATGATGTTGAACATGTTTGCACGTGCTTTGCTGTTTTGGCCGTTTGTATATCTTCCCTGGTGAAAAGTCTAGTCAGATTTCTTAGGATGGTCTTACAGTATTATTTTCTTTGCAATTAAAGACCATTTTACTTCCTCCCTTCATATATATATATATATATATAATATATTTATTTATTTATTTATGTCTGATTGCATTGTCTATAACCTCCAGCACAATCTTGAATAGAAGTATTAATGGCAGACATCTTTGTTTTGTTCCCAGTGTTAGGAAGGCTTTCAGTGTTTTGCCATTAAGTATGATGGTACTTGTAGGTTTTTGATAAGAGGCCCTTTATCAGATTGATGAAAATTTCCTTTTATTCCTAGTTTGTTGAGAGGTTTTCTTTTTTAAACATGAGTGGGTGTTGGATTTTTTCAAATGCTTTTTTTATATCTACTGAAATGATCATGTAGTTTTTGTCCTTTGTTTTAGTAAAATGGTATATTACATCAATTGATTTTCACATATTATACTAACTTTCTATTTTTGGAATAAATTCCAATTACTTATGCTATATAATCTTTTTAAGATGTTGCTGGATTTGGTTTGCTGATGTTTTGTTGAGGATTTTTTTCTATTTCTTTTCACGAAAGATACTGGTCTCTAGCCTTCCTTTCTTGTGATTTCTGTCTCATTTTCGTATTAGGTAATGCTGGACTTAGAATAATTTGGGAAGTGTTTCCTCCTCCTATAATGTGAGGACTGGTATTATTTCTTCTTTAAAGTTTGGTAGAATTTACCAGGGAAGCAATCTGGTCTTGGGCTTTCTTTATAGTTAGATTTTTAAAGTTATTAACTCAATGTTGTTATCTGTTGTAGATCTATTCAGATTTTCTATTTCTTTTTGAGTTACTTTTGGTAATTTCTGTTTTTTTAGGGATTTATCTACTTGATTTAAATTGTCTAATTTGTTGTCATGAAGTTGTTCATGATATTCATTATAATCCTTCTATGTTGGTAGTGCCATTCCTCCTTTCATTCTTTATTTTTATAATTTGAGCTTCTTCTCTTTTCTTTGTCTGTCTAATGGAAGATTGATCAAGTTTGTTGATCTTTTTAAAGAACCAAATTTTGGTTTTGTTGATTCTGTATTGTTTTATTTTAGTCTTATTTTTAAAAAATTAAAATTCCATATGTACATTACTTAAAGACAGTTATTCTGCAAGGCTTATTTACTACTCTTAGGAAAAACAGCAGTACTTATTACCTTTTATTACCTTGAGACATGTAACTCTTCATCCCTAGAAACAGTCGTTTTCAACTATCTGAGATGATTTTTTAAAATCCATATCTCTTTCAAAATAATTTTTTTTACATTGCTGTTTGATTTTTCAGGTTTACCTACTTTTTACTACCGAAGATCATAATTTAGTTTTCATTCATGCTTGACTTCCTTTTCTATTCTCTCTACATTTAGTGATATTATAATCTTGCTTAGATTAGTTATTCAGTCTTCACATTATTATATAATTATGAAAAGTTCCTAGTTGAGCCTTGTAGTACTATTTAGTGACAGTATTTTTTCACTTGCACATTTTGTTTTTCTGGGATTTAATAGTTGTGTCATTTATTGTTTACTTGGTTTAATATCCATGAACTTTTGAATTCAACCTCATACTCCCACCAAGTTGCATAAATCTCTTAATATGTTCAGTAATTGAAGTATTCTGTTATTTTCTGTTTTCATCTTCTTAAAGAAATCACTCCTGGAGGTGTTGGCCGGTTCAGTTTGGACAGATTACCCTTTAAGTGATTTGCTGCACAGCTGTCACTTGTTGCTTAATTTCATCACTATCTTAGAGATCCCTTTGCCATCTCCTTGTCTTAAATACCCTGCTTCTGGAATCCCATGTCTTCTCTTTCTCAGTGTGGGTCCATATTTTGGTGAAGCAAATCTTCCAATAGCTTCTTGAGAAAGTTCATTGTAGGTAAATGTTTTCATGCCTTGCAGATCTGTAATAGTCTTTCTCATACCCTTGTCTTTGAATGGTAGCTTATTGGACATAAAATTCTAAATTGGAAATTATTTTCTCTTGGAATTTTTTCAGGCATCTGAGAGATTTTTTGTTTACATTTATTTATTTAGTTTTTCGTTTCTTAATTTGTGTTTTTGATTTCCAAGGGCTGTTTTGTTCCGTCAATATTTTATTTTTAATCACATCCAGTTTTTGTTTTATGGATGTTATATCCTCTCCTATTTTTCTGAGGATATTAATGTTAGGTCTTTCTTCTCTTTCTTTAAAGTCACTCCCCTCCCCCTGATAATCTTTGACTACTACCCAACCCCCCTGTCCCGCACTTTGTGGTCTCTTTCTTTTTTATTAGATGTTAACTTCTGTGATCCTTGGCTGTCTGTTCATATTTAAAACTAAGGACCTAAAAAGATGATTGGTTGCTGAGTGTGTGAGGCCCTCTCTGTAGAGTGATCTGGTTATGCTGTTTTGCTGGAGAGCTCCTAGCTGCAGCATCTATAGTCTGTTATTTTAAAGCATGAATCTGTATTCTCTTATAGTTTTTTTTTGTAATGTGTATTACATTTGCAAAAAGTAAAATATTTTATTTAAAAAGGTAGAGAGGGAAGAGTTCAGTCTTTCCCAGAACTTCTCAGCTTGTGATAGGATCATATAGCCTTTCAAGTACCAATCTTGAACAACACGGTGGTTTCCCAGTGAACAGTGGTTTGTTTCTATTCATATACTTCTTTGTATTTTTATCTAGCTTTTACAGTCGATCTTTTATTGGCATGTAAGTCTCTTTAGGGCAAGTACCGTAACATATTCCCTGTATTTTTTGAAAAATAAGTTACCAGAAATAACTGAAATGCTGGAAATTTACTTCTTAAGAATTATATTTTATTTTTATCTCGTTTTATAGATTAAAGAATGCCTCATCTGATACAAAACAAGTGGTTAAAAGTGAAACAGACTTGGATATTACTGCTGATCTTAGAAAAAAGCTCCATCGGGCTAAGAAAGAAAAATTAGAAATAACAACTAAGCACAATGCAGAGGTAGAATTTATTTTCCTCTCAAATAATGTTAAAAGTTTGATTGTTTTAGATTCATTTTATATTACAAACTTCTTGTTTTAGCATCACTTTAACATTTTTGTGCCTAAAAAGGAAATTTTAATAAAATAGGTAGTTTTTAAAATGATAGAATTGTATAGGAGTGTTAAAGTAGAAATTTAATGAGTTATGTCTTTTGGTATGTTGTCTTACATTTATTTTAATTAATGAGTTATACTTGATCAAAAGTATTAATTGATGAATGCATTTGGTGACTAAAGGATTTGTAAATTAGACATTTTGGAAATCTTAATGTAGGTTCCTTTTGCTCTCAGTCATATAACAATCTCTTAAGTAGATTTGAGTGTGAAATTTTTAATCATAGTTAATTCATGAATTGTCTTAGTTTCTTTTTTATTATATTATTGTATCTTTTATTAGTATGTGTGTATATATATAAATATATATATTTCACATGTATATGCATATTCCAAGGACAGTAGTTACCTTTCACCCTAAGATAATTCATGAATTATATGTTTATGTCTCTTCTGTCTGTTGTGTTTTTTCTCTTTCTTTTTTTTTTTTTTCTCTATTTAAATTTTAGTCATTCTTAAAGCTCAGCTTAGGCAGCCTGATGTAGTGGAAAGAATATCAAGTTATGCAGACTTGGACTCATTCTTGGCCCTTCCATTTACAAGATATGTGACTTTGGGCAAGTTATTTATCCTGTACATCATTGGTTTCTCATTGTGAATGCTGGTCCCAAAGGGTTGTTGAGATAATTAAGTGAAACAGAATTTGTCAGATACCTATGCACTGTAATAGTAGTTGTCATTTATTGGCATTTAAGCAAAAGCAGTGTATTTTCCTTCCTGTTTTGCTAAATTTTCATACTGTTCTGTCAGGAAACCTCTTAAAGCCCCGCTAGGTGAAAGTGATTACTCCTTTCTTTGTTCTGCCATAACATGTTGCTATTACAGATATTTTAGAGCTAAAACATTTGTTTCATGCTTACCTGCTCTTTAGTCCTAAAGTTTCCTTAGGCTGAAAGCAGTGACCATGCTTTGTCTTTGTACCTCTCAAGTTGCTTATTGGCACATAGTAGGCTCTCAGAGGCTGTGTGTTGAATAAATGTTTGGAAAAATGATTTTTTTTCAGGTTGTCTAAGGAATAATGGTTTATGATTAAAATTGCAAGTGATGAGTATTTGACTGTTTCATTTGTATTTTTTCTGGCAGCTGAGGCAAATTTAAAGTGATACTTGAAGTAGTAATTGCTTTTATTTATGTTGTAATATTATATACTGAATATAAAGTAGTATGTGTTAAATGGATGCTAATTGTTCATACTCTCCTCAATCTCCAAAACTTATTTTCTAAAACCAAATATACATTTTACTTGAGAATATTAGTATGATAGTCATTCATCCATTAAATATATTCTTTCACATGTATTTCCAGTTGTCATCACATTCCTTTTAGCAGAACATATTATTTATTCTCTTTTATTTGATCAAAATGTTTTGAAGTATGTGTTCACAATAAAGAGATATGAAATTATCTCAGGAAAGAAAGATTTTCTCAAAATAGGTAGTTATAATTGGTTCAGCTCCAGGTTTATATGGCTGTTCATTCTTATTGTTTCAATTATTTGTATTATGTAGTAATTTTACTCATATTATGTGGTAATTTTTAGTCATATAATCTCCCACATATGCCCATTATAAAGCAAGGCAGAGAGGAATCAAACTATCTAAAAACTAAGGCCAGATATTTGCCCTGTCAGATACTCCTAATGCTCACACATGTCATGTTGGAAGATTTGCACACAATATCTTTAAAATCTAATTGTTCAACAATAGATGAAAGGATAAAGAAAATGTCTAATGTGTATGTATATATGTGTGTGTGTAGACATATGTATGTGTGTGTGTATGTATATATATATATATATATATATATAATGGAGTATTACTCAGCTATAAAAAGGAATGACATCTTGCCATTTGTGACAACATAGATTGACCTTGAAGGCACAATAATACAGATGTGTGAAATAGGACAAGAGACTATGAAACTATTCATTCAGATATTTCATTGGCCCAGATAGTAATGATAGAGCAAGAAAATACTCTAGAGAAATGAGGATGGGAGAGGATAAAGAAGAGCAATATAACTTTCTTTACCCGAAAGGTACTGGATATCTAGAACCAAGCAGTAGGCTTTTAGGGTTTAGGACCTGAAGGTGTTGTTTGACTGACCTAGCCAGTTCTCTTAGGAGTAGGGATTCTTAAGCTGGAGATCCTTAGAAACCAAGAAATCAAGGAATCTGTGTACTTGGATAGGGGGACATTACATTTTTATTTTTATTAACTTCTAACTCATTAAGCATTTCCTTTAGTTATGAAGAGCATATAGCTCAAGTGGTAGAGCACATGCTTAGCATGCCTGAGGTCCTGGGTTCAATCCCCAGTACCTCCTCTAAAAATAAGTAAATAAATAAACCTAATGGCCTACACCCCCACCCCTGAAAAAAAGAAATAACATAGATTATGGCATCATAAATTGGTTTTTATATTTTATATTTGTTTTTATACTTTGATTTCCTTTGTTATCCTGTGTATTTCATTTTATGCATCTAATTACATTTTTCTCTGGAGGCTTTGTCAGATTGACAAAGAGATGATGTTGTAAAAGTGGTGAAAAAACTTTTTTTTGGAGGCTGAGACATGCTTGAAAGGGCATGAAGGAAGATATGAAGGAAGATATAGAGAGTGACATAGAGAGGAGGTTCTAAGATAGCTGATTGAAAATAAGGACCTGGAAGTATGCAGATCTGTTTTGAAAAGGAGGGAGACACCATTTTTGCTGCTGTTGCATATGTCATTTGCACTGCTGTTTTAGTGCATATGTTGAACCTTAAGTGAGAAAACAACCTCATGGGTAGGGGTTTTTTTTTTCTTTCTCAGCCATGTGGTTAGCTCTGGAAATCAAGTAAGGCCCAATCAAGCTAAAAGAAGGACATTAATGGAGGAAATTGATTGTACACATGACGGAAGACCTAGGAATCCAAACATAGAATGATGATGCCACCCAAAGATTAGTAATAGCAGGAAACCACCACCACCTCTAGGCCAGGGGGCCAATGGGAGGAGACAATGTTACAAGAGTTTGGAAGTTGAAACTGCCTAGAGTAGGTAGAACCATGGGAGGGGCTGTTCAGCCAGTGCTGGGATGTTGGAAGGAAAGGATGGGGAGCTGGAACCTGAAAAGAGATGCAGCTATTGCCAGAGACACTGCCAGAAATAGAGCCACTTGGCAATGGAGCATGGGAATTACAATTCCTGTGATATAATAGAGTAGAGCAAAAAAAAAGGGGGTTGGGAAATGGATCTGAGATCAAAAGGGCAAATGATTGGCAGTCCACACTTTGTGCTCTTCAGCATTCATTATCATGCTTTTACTTATCTGTGACACCCATGCAATAATATCTTGTTCCTGCATAACACTGCAGATTGTAACTCAAACATCCTCTACACAAAAATGCTCTCACCCACTCCAAAATGGGAGACCCGGAGGCTTATTAGTCAGTGCATTCATCTCACAGATGATACATATCCTCACCATCAGATTCTTATAATTTGGTGTCTCATGAATTTAATTGAAACAAATGCTGCTAAGATTCTTCATATAATGCCAGACGGGAGGAGCAAAGAAAAAAATCACCACTGTATACATGTAACAGATATGCAGAGCTGCTGCAGTTCTTATTCTTAGAACTGATTTCAAGGTTATAAGCTGATATTTATCATTTCTGTCGCAATTGATTCCTTCTTCCCTTTCTCCTCTGCCAGCATTTCCCTTGGTGGAGTGACCACATCTTCATTCTTGAAAAGTTTGATTCTATACTGGTGCTGCCTCTATTGGATGTCAGAAGATACGGGTGTACTAAGGGTCATACCATTGAATCCCCAGGTTTCCGTGGTCTTCCCTGCATCACTGTCTCCTTGGTAATCAGGATCAGTCACCCAGCCAATATAGTAACTCCTTTCTTTACCTTCTGTTTCAGTGGCCCAAGGAGCCCAAAACTACCCTAGAGGTTGTCTTGGCTTCCATCTTAATGGATTTTTTTAAGAAAATTTTTTTATTGTGGTAAAAAATATGTAAGATAACATTTACCATTTTAACTATTTTAAGTATATAATATAGTTATGTGTAGTTATATTCATAGTGCTGTGCAACCATCAGCAGTATCTGTTTTCAAAATTTTTCGTCATCCCAAACAGAAACTGTCTACCTGTGGAGCAATAACTCCCCTGCCTTCCTTCCCCCTTCCCCCACCCCTAGTAACCTCTAATCTACTTTGTTTCTATGAATTTGAATATTCTAGGTAGATAACCTCCTATAAGTCACACTATAGAATTTTTGTCCTTTTGTGTTTATTTAATTTACATGTTTTCAAGGTTAATCCATGTTGCAGTGTGTTTCAAAATGGATCATTTTGTGTCACCTGGTAGAAGTATTCAACCTTTGTGAATTAAAATCTCTTTCAAAATATCAAAGCCCAAAGTTGCATGGATTGGGGTTGAGGGGTGTGGAACTCAGTGAGTGGGTTAGTAGATGGTAAGGTTATCAGAGGCTAGGTTAAATAGAGAGAGAGCTGCTCCCACTTCCATCCTTTATTTCCTGAATCTGTGTATGGGAGATACTAGTATCCAGTTCAGAGCTTCTACGTTTCCCATAGGGAAAGTCTTGGGGGAAGATTTACAGTACATACTTGTAGCAGTGCTACCTCAGAGAGTCAGGGAGTCTGGGAACTGATGGCAGGGAATGACTTCATATTTTGGAGACTCAGGTAAGGATTCTGCTCACTAGGCTTAGACTTTTTCTGGTTTGTTTGTTTTCGTTGTTTAGATCAAATAGGGCTTTAGAACTGCTTCTCCAGTATGGTAGCCACATGTGTCTTTTGAGCACTTGAAATGTGACTGGTCTGAATTAAGATGTGCTACAAAATGAATAAATAAACCTAATTACCTTCCCCCCAAAAAAGCTTAAGAAAAAAAAAAAGATATGCTACACACTGGATTTCAAAAGTTTGGTATAAAAAATATAAAATATCTAAAAAAAGTAAAATGCCTCATTAATGATTTTTCATATTGATTGTTGAAATAATAATCTTGGATATGTTGGGTTAAATGTAATATTGAAATTAATCTCACATATTTATTTTTACTTTTTGAAATACTGCTACTAGAAAATTTAAAATTACACTTGATACTTGCATTATACATCTGTTGGATAGCACTGCTTTAGAAGGCTGTCCATCTCTTTAATTCCTTTGTACACCAGGATCAATTAGATACTACCTGAAGACCTGGTGGTCAAATGCTATGATTACTATTGTACCACTGCTGCCCATTATAGTAACTGGGCTCGCCTTGTCTCTACTGGTTAATTACTACCACTTGGCCTTTGCCATGCTGGAATTTCACCATTTTGATTGAGACTGGGGGAGTCCATCTCAGTTATGACATTTCCCATCATTATCTTCACCAGAGCTTTCTAAAGGTGCTTATGCTGTCTAGTGTGTTTTAGAGAATTTTAATTAGGAAAAGAATGTCCTTTGAGCTCTAGAAGAGGATGTGGTTGGGGAAAGGGGAGATTTTGGTTTGCTCATAATAAAATCACTCCTATCGTCTTCAGTCTCCATATTATGTCAGGAAAGTACTGGCGTTTTGACCTTATTAAGTGATTGTAGGCTGATGTTGAATTCAATTTACAGTTACCTATCCAAGCAAACTGTTAGAGCTAGCTTATTAAATTAAAATCAGGCGTATATATGTTCTTCAGGTTCTTGTTAATACAAGATTTAGCAGGATCTTGCAATTCTTTTGCTATAGAAGCTATTTTAACCTGAAGCAGACAGCGTTTCTCCTCAGACTGAGATCTGAGTCTATCTATAGTGACAAGGTGGAGGTGCGTCTTGCAAATCCTCTTGCAGGACATTTATTGCAGGCCACTACTAAGTCTTTAAGCAAGGGAAGGCCAATTACCTCAGACAGAGAGTAGAGGCTGCTTTTGTTGGAAAGGGATGTTTAAGGGAGATTTTGGAGTTTACAGTTTTTAGGATTGTCTAATTGCAAAAGCGTTCATACGGTCTTCCTTTCTACGTAATGGCCAGCTGATATAGACCATCTTAACATTAGAAACTTGATGGGGCTCTTCATTCAACTTGTATTATGATTATGCCTTCCCATAATTAGATTTGTCTGTCTGGTCCTTAGACTTGTCTGCCATGGGGTTATGAGAAATAAAAGATTCTTTCAAAGTCAACATAGAAACTTTCTGGTTTTCTGTCTTGAACTGAGACTCTGAAACCCTAAGATTATCTTTTTGACAAGTTCTCTAATGTAGTTAGAGTTAGCCTTCCCACCCCATAGGTCTTGCAGTAAACAACACTGACATATTGGTCAGGTGCAGTTGCTACTTCATTTCCCAAAAGCTTGCCCTCAACTGGTATTTCACTTTAAACAACTGCACATAATCATTTAAGTAATTGTGATCCCACTGTAGGCCATGGGTCACTGCAAAAGTATTTCATTTCTACCTGCAAAAAGGTCTTCATTATATTTAGGCTCATTTAGTTTCACCACCGAGTATCAGAAGCCTATTTTGAAACTATTTCTGATGCCAAGAGTATACTACTTGGTGTCCAAATGGAATTGATTACACAAGCACCAGAAGAAGTAAAAACACAAATAGGGGATGTTAGGGCAAACCAGAGGGTAGCAACATTAGGAAGTTGCTTCTACTCCTAAGACTGAAAAAAGCCAGAATCATTTAGAAAGAGCTAGGGCCATGGAAGGAGGGACTAACCAGAAGGATTTACAGCCACAGGGAAGAAAAAGATACTGCTGGGTTAGATGTAGAGAGGTACAAACACCCTGGCTTCTCCTCCCCTGCCCTCAAGTGTACCACAGATTCCTCTCATTGACCCAAATGTAGGTCAAGGAAGCCTGACAAATGTAGTTTCTACAGTACAGAGCAGAGCTGGAGAAATCAAGAGAAATAGTGTAGACAGTATTTACCAAGCTATCCTTTGATACAGTTTGCTTCTTGATTTCATTTAGGGAATAGGAGGAGAGGAGAGAAAAAATTTTTAAGTGCTTACTATGTGTCACACTTTTTTTTCACTTTGTGGTTATGACTATTTCTGATTAAAACCTATGATTTCTCTTTATTTTTGGTAAGAAGTTATACAAGAATTTTGGTTTTTTTTCTCTAGTGGATTCTCTAAAATAAGAAAATTAATGAGTGTTATTTGGTGAGTAAGGCTATTGCTTCTTTTCCAGTCTTTTAGAAAGCTTATATGTATAAATTCTTGTCTTATAAATATTATAGAAACAGATCTCTCTAAGAAATTTAAATGTTTGGGTGCATGATCTCATAATCTTGGAGACATATTTTAATATTGGTTCGTGATATTGGAAATCTGTTTTTAGCTGGCAAGCTACGAGACCCAGATTGCCAAGCTACGATCCGAGGTTGAGAAAGCAGAGGCATTGCGACAAAGTCTGGAGTACGACTTGGCTGTTGCTAGAAAGGAAGCTGGACTCGGAAGACGGGCTGCTGAAGAAAGATTAGCTGAGGCGCATAGGATCCAAGAAAAACTCTATGGTAAAACTATTTCTGTTCCTTCCCGTGTTTACGGCTATACCCTCATTGTATAGCATTGCTCCTTGTTGAGTACGCATTCCATATAGAATCAGAGTAGGGTTTTGATTTCTTTGACTGAATTTTGGTGGACAGACTTTACTGAGTGTGTAGGTCTTCTGGCAGTTGTGTGAACATTAGTCTTTTTTGTGCATGTATAGGAAAAGGCATTCAAAATTTTGTTACTCACTTTTTAGAGTACTTGTTCCATGAATAATCAAATCAGCAGAATCACATAGAGATTTTTAAAAAAAATTTATAGGCCTCCTGTCACATATAATCTGAATCAGAATCTCTAGCTTGAGAGACTCTACTACATGTTCAGGTAGCACTGCAGGTGATTTGTTGATTAGCTTGGTTTAGGAACCAGGGTTAGAGTGTGGTGCCTAGTAAAGAAAAAGGCAGTGGATTTAGTCCTGGAAATCTGTTATATAACACTTTAAAATTTAAATGTTAAGAACATTTAAATATCTTTTAATTTAAGTATAATATATATATAAGGAAATGTGCCTAGATAAATGTATAACTGACTCATAACCAACATGCAGATCATGGAATGGAAAATTACCAAAAGTCCTCTACACGCTATCCTGATTTTTAATAGCAAGAATTAATTTTGCCCTTTTTTTGTGCTTTATATGAAAGGGAATCATGTATGTATTCTTTTGTATCTGGCTTCTTTCCTTCAACATTGTGTTTGTGAGTTCATCCCTATTGTTGTATGAACTTCGGACTGATGTTTAGTGTAATATAATGTGAACTACCACACTTATATTCATCCATTTCTATTGATACTGGTAGTGGGTAGTGTCTGATTTTTGGTTATTAAGAATAGCCTTGCTACGAACATTCTTGAACTCAGCAGGTTTTAATTAAGCGAACACTGAACATGAATTTAGAAGATTTAGATTTAGGTCCTGATTCTGCCACTTACTTACTGATACTTGAACCTAGGGTTTTGTTTTTTTTTAAAGGATGAAATAAGAAAGTGAAAGTGCTTTATTAACTGTACGGGGCTAAACGAATGTTAAATTATGATTATTGTAAAGGTTAAGATCCCTAGTCTTGGCCTGGCCATTGTTAAAAAATACTTTTGATTACCTCTGGCATTTAATAGCTACACCACTAACTGGAACTTAGTAATATAAGGCTTGAAAGGCACTAGATATACAGGTTAATGAATTTCATTTAATTACTGGGAAATTGAAGTCCAGGAATCGTATATATATATATGGGAAGTTACTTACCCAAAGTCAAATGATTTCAACTGACACTCTACAGAGGGTGATAGAAAAATGGCCATTAATCACATGAAAAATGTTTAGCCTCCCTTGTCATCAGGGAGATGCAAATTAAAACTGAGTGGCTGTCACTGTATACCCATCAGATGGCTCTGATTGAAAAGACTGTCAATACTAGACGTCAGTGAGGAAGCAGAGCTGCTGGAACTCTTATACTTTGTTAGTGGGAGAGTGAAATGGTACAACTACTTTGGAAAAAAAAACTTGGCAATTTCTTTTAAAATAAATATATATTTATCCAGTGATGCAGCAGTTTCACTCTGATATTTTCTCTGAGAAATATTTGTTCACAAAAGACTTGTATAAGAATTTCATAACAGCTCTATTCATGACAGCCAAAAACTGGAGAAAAACCCCAAATGTCCATTGACATAAAAATGAAGAAATAATTTTTATATATTCATTCAATGAAATACTACCCAGCAGTAAAAATGAACCAACTTCTGATACATGTGATAACATGAATGAATCTCAAAAACATTATGCTGAGTGAAACTTTACACAGAAGAGGACACCCTGTGGGATTCCATTAATGTGAAATTCTAGGAGAGAACCAGTCGTTGGTGAAAAAAATTCAAAACAGCAGTTACCTCTGGGATTCATTCGCAGGGGGGTTGACTAGGAAAAGGTAGAAGGAAATTTTTTGGATTGAAGGAAATGTTCTATATTTTGATTTTGATAGGGGTTTGGGTTACATGAGTGTATGCATTTGTGAAATCTCTTTGAATGGTACACTAAGGATTTGTCCATTTCACTATATATAAAATTTTACCTGCAGAAAAAAAACTATATTGGATTCTAGTTAATTATATGAGTGCTTAATTATTCAGAAGTGAAAGGTGCTTTTATTTGCAATTTGCTTGGAAATGCATATAAAAGTAGGATGGTCTGATGGATGAAAAAATCAATGGATGCATGGATAGATTAATGATTGTGTAATAAAGAAAATACACATAGCAAAATGTTAACAATCATAGAGTCTAGTCTGGGTTTATAGGTGTTCATTGTACAAGACTTTTAACTTTATGTATTTTTGATATTTTTTATGCTAAAATGTTGAGGGTAGGGTGAAAAACAACCTAATAGAGTTATGGGATTTTAAAAGAGTTAATCTCGTAATGACTGAGGGAGTAGGAAATGTGACAAGCTGGAAGACAAATGGATGAGGGTAACTGACACAGCAGACCTGAGATGTCAGAATCCTAAGCCAGGAGTTGGGAAAGCTGGCAGACAACATGCTAGATAATCTGAGGCTTATTGGAGCATCAGATACCTTTGGAATTAGGAGTTGGAATAGCAGCAGTAAAAAGATGAAAGTTGTTTGCTCTAGAGGCACTTAGGTTATTAGATCCTCTTCCCAAGAGCATGCTACTTTGGGATTGCTCCCACTTTCTACGTTAAGTCAGGAGGCTTAATATCTGAAGATGATAAAATACAGGGTCTTCAGACTGACAAAAACAGGAATATAGCATACTCAATGTTGACTATTGAGGAACTATTTCATCCAGCTTCCTTTTTCTATTGACTTCTCCAAAATCTAGCACTGAATTTTCTATACTCCATATGGGAGCTTATAAGACTCTTCTGTCAATCACCTGACCAAGCCCAGAGGAAAAACCTAATCATACTGATGTTGGGGGTTTCCTAATAAATGGTACAGCCAGATCCTCCTTCAGCGAAGATGACATTGTAAAGTTCCTTCTTCAAGACCAGAATCTAGGGGTTGGGTATATGGATATATAAAAAGTATGCCAACCTTATAATTACTCTCTGTTGCGAGCACGCAACCAAGAATTCGCAGATTCTTGGGAAAAGCCTCTAAAATGGAGAAAAAAAATAATTTAGAAGACTCAGAAACTCTTCAAGAAGAAGATTTAAGAAACAAGTAGTATTAATATTGTCAGAGCTGAAAGATAATATATTCTATCCATGATGCAAGAACCAGGTGGTATAAAAAAAACAAAGCTCTTAGAAATTAAAAATGTGATGTCAGAATGTCAGTAGAAGCACTGGAAGATGAAGATAGAAGAAGTATCCCAGAAATTAGAGGAAAAAAGACCGAGGTGGAAAAATGAGAAAGACAAGAAAACTTGAGGACCAATCTGAAAAATAGGTAATATTGAAAGAAAGAGATTAGAGAGAAAACATAGGGATAAATGATCAATGAAATTATTTAAGCAAACATTACAGAACTAAAGCATGAGTGGCCAAGTTGAAAGGGCCTACTGAATATTCAGTGCAATGGAAAAAACAGACCTATGTGAAGGCATAGCATTATAAAATTTCAGAAGAATGGAGACAAAATGAAGAACCTCAAGTTTTTCAAGGCAAAAGAAAAGGAAAAGAAAGAAAAATAGGCCAAATGCAAAGGAATGGGAATCAAAATGGCCTCAAACTTCTTACTTGCAATACAGGATGCTAAATCGTAGAATAATGTCTTGGAGAGAGAGTAACTTGGAAGGGAGACTTTTTATACCTTTTATACTTTTGTATTTTGAACCTTTGAATATATGATCCATTGAAAACACAAATATAACTTAGAAATAATACTACTAACTGTGGCTTTTTTTGGTTTAATAAGTGTGCTTGTAAATATTTCCTCATTTTATCTACATGGCATCTTAACTAGGAGGCAGTTTATTCCCACTGAGGGTTAGAGAGTCAGAGAGGTTTAATCAGATGGTAGGTGCTGGAGCCCTTACCTGGAAGCCTTTCGTTACTTCTCTTGTAGATGCTGAAACAAGAGCAGCAGCCGTAGTGAGTTGGGAGGTGATGGCTATTGTTGAGGTAATACTAGGATAAGAGGTGAGTTGAGCCTAACTTTGGGGGAATAAATAGCTATAGTTCTAAGGTTCCCAGCCTCAATTTTGTGACAGTCTCAAGTGTAAGATGTGCCACAATTAATTTGTTGCCAAGTTAAATATCAAAATTTGTAATCTATCAAGTCTTTTAAAAAAGTAACCTTATTACATGTCACAATTTAAAACAAAATCTGATTAAGTTTTGAATAGTAGAGAAAACAGTAGAGTTGCAGTGGGTGCACATAAACTTGTGTGTGCCTCTGGAATACGACATACTGTTTATTCACGGCAAAATTACCTTTGTCTGGAGGAGAAGAAAAGATTGAGAAATTATAGATTGGTTCTGGGATAGTGAGCTTTTCAAGAGTTGACTGGTGTGAGAAGTGGTGAAGTGTTTTGTCCTAAGATCGCGCTCTAACTAAAATTAGCTCCAATGTCTAGGTTTTTTTGAACTCCTATGGTTTTAATTGATGGTTGTAAATATACCTATCATACTTTTGTATTTTTAATAGCTCAGAATGCAGAACTTCAAGGAAAAACAAATGAGATCGAGAACGCATTCCAGACCTCCCAGCAGAAATGGAAAGAAGAATGCAGAAGATTTGAACGTGATTTGGAGGAAAGAGACAGTATCATTCAAAATTGCAATCAAGAATATGATTTACTTATGAAAGAAAAAAGCAGACTAGAGAAAACTCTACAGGTAAAATATTTTATAAAGGATTTTTTCTATGTGTAATGTTCATTGACATGTGTTTACATTATTTGAAGTTATCTTTGGAAAGGAGAATATCAGAGAGCAGGAAAATCTGATTTCCTCCTCACTCCTCTAACTCCCTTCTGCTCTCCCTGTTTTCTCTTTAGGCACGTTTTTACAAGTCTCTTTTATAATATACCTTAGCAATATATTAATATGTATACTGTTTCTTTTGTGAAAAACAGTTTGAGATCTCTGATCGGAAATTTAAAAATAACACTTATATGGGCATATTACTGTAAGAAGATAAGAACCCACAACACTTTTGGTCCAGCAGCATGAAAATTTGGAATTTTAGAAACGTTGCTCCTTGATTTTGGCCTAAATTTACAATCAATATAGGAAAGTTTTTATATATCTGATGTAAACTTCATTATCTATGCACGTTCTATCTGGGCACAATATGTAAAATATTTGATGACCTTTTCCTGAAATTATTGTAAGGTATTTACTCTCTTATTTTTTGTTCTTTTTTATTCTCTAAAGTAAAAGTATGGTCTAAGGTTGAAGTTGCCAACCACTTAAAAGATAGATTTTGATTTTTTTAATCTGTTTTTTTTTGGGGGGGGCTGGTAATTAGGTTGGTTTGTTTGTTTGTTTATTTAACGGAGGTACTGGGGATTGAACCCAGGACCTCATGCATGCTAAGCATGTACTCTACCACTGAGCTGTGCCCTCCCCCTAAAAGATTTTGAATTGTCTGTACTTGCCATTTTTATCAAGTATCACTTTAAACTGAAAAATACTAGATAAAAATGCTCTGCATTTACCACTGATGTAAATAGCTTTTCAGAATACTAGAAATAAATCTTCACTAAAAGTTAGTTACAAAAGCATTCCCTAAAGGTAAAAGTTTCAGCACGAGGGTTTCCTGATATTGTCAGAATATTTACTCTTGATTTCCTGCATGTCAGTAGTCACAGTTTTCTCTTCTGTTTACTTTTGTATTCCTAGACTCTGAAACAGTGCCTGGCATGTACAAGGGCTCCGTTAATATTTGAATGGGGGAAGCTTAGGTGGCAGCTGGAACCTGGGCCCTCTGTGTAACCTCCACATAAAATGTCTTAGAGCTGTGGGGAAAGAAGGGTATTGGTAGTAGCATTCCTTACAGTCAATCAGCCTGAGTCTCAAGTTATAAGATCTTGATGTGATCTTGATCGGTTGTTTGGTAGGAGAACTCTGCCTTGATTTTATGCAACTGGCTTTGAACTGATCTGTGTAGAGACCTTTGGGATTGAAGAGGAATCGCTGTTTAGCTGGAGGGGAAAAGCCTGCAGGCTCTTTGTGAGGGCAATCTTTACTGTGTAGATCCATGTTACTGTTTATAAGGACACAAGAGGCTTTCTCTCATAAACGACAGACTCTTTCTCCTGTTAATGCAGACTTTGTTTTAAACCCTATAGGTTAGAAAATTGGGCTTCTCAGGAAACCTGTGTTTTATACTTATGAGATTTTGAACAAAATTAAATCTTGCAAATGTAGTACAACTAGGAAAACCACTAAAGGGAAGCCTCTTGCAAATATTGTTTATCTGTAGAGCTAGAAATTAGTTAACAGTTCAAACCTAAAAAGTTTTTTTGACTTTTCGAATTTTTAACATTCTAGTTTCCTCATGCTGATTTGTTGCACAAAACTCCTTCCCTCTCCCCTTTTGTAATAGTGTTCTTTGTCAGATTTATATATAAATTATCAGGAATAATTCAAAGTTTGTCCATGGGTAATTAGCACTTTCCACATTATCTCCTTTACATATAGATTACATATATGCCAAACCATCTACTTTGTTTTTGTCTCTATCATATGATGCATTTTGTTCAAACCCTTGAAATTAAATTTTTTGGAAAAAGTAGGTTAATTATATGTATATCTCTATATATACATATATGAAATGTTGCTTAAATGAGTAACCATAGTTTCTTATTCAGATCTACATTCTGGTGATCAAAATATAATAGTTGTATTAATTAATGATTTTAATGTAAATTATAATGAGCTTTATCAGTCTATAGGTGAGAACCATTTGTATATTTAAATTGGGGATGAAGGAAGAAAGCTATCTTTTATTGATCTAATAGTAAAGCAAGATTTTATTCTTATAAAGGAAGTGTTGGAAAAACATCAGCAGGAGAAGAATGAGATGGAGTCTCATATCAGGGAGACAGCATTGGAAGAGTTTAGATTACAAGCAGAACAATGGGAAGCAGAAAGAAGAGAGTTGCAATTTATAGTACAGGTAATCTTAAAATAATAATCCAGTTCTTTAAATATCTTTTTAATGCTTATGTTATTAAAAATTATATTAGTGTGATAACTGGCTAGCTTACTCACGGAGAAAATAATTCCTAGTCTTTGATCTCTGGAAGGCCATGTTTCCTTTGTAGTTAATGACAATATGGGCAACTGTTAGCAACAGATACTATTAGAATTAGAGTTGGGTGACTTCCTTTGCATAAATTATGTGATTGTGAAAAGGATATGTATACATTTGGCATTTATTTTTCCAATTTAAAATATGAGACTTTTAGCAGTCTTTAATAGCATAAAGAAATAGGAGAATCAGATTTTGGATATTAAAGGATGCTTATAAATCACATAGATTTTTTTAACTCTTTTTAAGAAGTGCAAATTCTTAATCATGGTCTATTAACACCCCCACCGCCAACACACAGAATCCCTAAGGGTTGGAGTAGTCCAATTTGAAAATCACTGATTATATCTAACCCTAGTTACAGATGAGCAAATGGCAATTTGTGATTTATTCACATCATAGATTGAGTGATTAATGTGGGAAAAGATTACAGGTTTCCAGATTCTCAATCTTGTGTACTTTGCATTCTTTCAGGAGATTATATGTAAATTGTAAAGGAGAAGTAGGAGAAATTAAAACTGTTCATTCACTAACCAACTAACTGAAAGTTTCAAATAAATTTTCATCGTTTCGTCTATTACTTATTTTGTGATAAACCTTTTTTTCTACACAAAATGACAGATTGGAATATAGTCTTTATATAGACGTCAAAGATACGCATTTTTTTACAGAATGAAAAATACCCATCTAAAATAAACTTTGGAGTTGCATTGTTTTGGAAACAGTTTTCTAAGACGAAACTGGCCTAGACACACAGCAAGTAGGAGGCACTTTAATTCTTTAAGAGTGAAAGCTGGCACTAAGCAGTGGAAATAATTAATTTATTGTACATATAAGTGTTCAGAATACCAACAAAACCTTTCCCAAACCTTTAGTCCTTGGGCACTTCTTTTCTTCCCAGTCAGTCCCTCTGTGGAACCTGGAAAGACAGTGCAATCACTCTTTAGACCCCTTGGTATTCTTAGAGTCTGCTTGTAATTTGTGTAGTTAGTTCTTTCATTAATTCATTTGTTCATTCCCAAAGTGCTTACTTGAGTTCCTGCTGTGGTTACTGAGAATATAAAATTGATTAAGATATGAGTTTTGTCCTAAAAGATCTTTCAACATGGGGAGATATGTAAAGAGAGAAAATGTATCATAATATAATAAAATTTTGAACAAAATGCTATGAGATCATGAAAGAGAAATTAATTAACTGCATCAGAGTTTGGAGCAATCACCAAGAGTACATGACATTTGAACTGTTGTTGATAATTGTCTCAAAAGTTACCTAGAACAAACAAATACAAGTAAATGAAAATAATCCCCTCATTTTAAAGAAATTTTATTTATTTATTTATTTTTTAATGGAAGTAACAGGGATTGAATCTAGGACTTTGTGCATGCTAAGCATGTACTTTATCACTGAGCTACATCCACCCTCTCCCCTCATTTCTAAATATTTAGAAATTTCCAGTGCCACCAGTCAGAAGCTTGAAAGTTATAAAATATGCTTCACAGACCTATGTTTAAATATGTAGATGATGTGATTTTGATGCAATTTCCTGGTCAATCCTATAAATCTCACATGAAATATATGTGGTTATATCAGACATTATATTATGAAGTACTAAGAGTATTTAATAAAATTCTATATCAGCCTTTAATCATTATGTGTGGTAAGAATAGGGCAATATAATCCTTAGTTACTACTACCTTTTGTAAGATAGATTTTATTGTAGAGATTCTGTAACTGAAATGTTCAGAGCTCTGTCTCTCAATTTCTTGTCCTTTTTAACAAAAGGCAACTGCTTTTCTTTTTATAAAGCAAGCTTAAAAACTTTTTATATTTTTTAAAAGTCTTTTTTAAAACAACTTGAGGGATAGATTGAAATTTTCTACTCTCTCTGTTGGCCGTTGATGGGTTTAGATTCCTAGCCTATAATTAGGTGTTAGTATCACATAGTGTTCTCTTTGTGTAGCTCTCTAAAGGGAATTCAGTTTTTAAAATAAGTTTTAAAAAAAACCTAAGTGAAACCTCATCTTTAACAGACAAAACTGGTGTAATATTTCTCTCATCTGGGCTTTAGAATTCAGACTCAACTATAAAAAGAAAAATCTTAATTTTTTGTCATGTCTCCTTTCTTTCCCAGTAATTGAAGTGTGAAATAGAGGTGTACTTCTCTGGAATATTAATGGAGATTCCTAGTGGAGTCACCTCAAAAGTAACCTCATTGTAAGGAATTGTTTTTCATTTTCTTAAATGCATACCCTCTTGTGATAAACATAAAAATTCCGTGTCCATCATTTGAAATTTCAAAACACATCAAAGCCATGGTAATTTTAGAATGATGTATTTATGTTGATCTTGGAAAAAATATGTATTATTTTAGTTTTTACCTCTACTTTAAAAAATTTCTTATTTAAAACGAACATTTGTTTTGTTTTTGTTTATTTATTTCTTGTTTCTGCAATAGCAATTTGGGGAAATTTAAAAGCAGAAAGTGAAAGTCTTGCCCCTTCCCCCTCCAATCCTACTCTTCAACCAGGATGTATAAATATGTATTATTATATTTACATAAATATGCTTCAGTAATATTTGGTGTCCACATGTTTGGTGTACATTATTCTTATAGTCTTTGCATGTAGTGCTTACATGTAGAAATTCCTAGTATATTTAATGAACCCCTTATTGTTTCCTTTTTATTTCCTTCAAACTTTTTTTGCTGTAATTTAAGATGAATCACCAGCATCCTTGTCTGTATCTTGGAGCTGTTGTACAAGTGACTCAGCTGTGTAAATGCCTAGTATAACTGCTTGTTCTGCAAGTTTATGGACTTATAATTATGATAAGATATTACATAAAGTTAGTACCAGTTTATACTCTGCAGCAGTAAACACTATTTTTGATTTTAGAACATGCTGGCTTTGGGGATTTAGAGAGGAGAAGCTTGTTCTGGCTCTTTCAGGAGATAACCATGTACTAGACTAAGGTTGTAACTGTCTATGTTGATATATTTCATGAGTTAGGTAGGAGTCTTTTAGCTCTGATATGTTTCTAACTATACTTCTTTAACTCTTCATACTTGGAACCATATTTTGGAGTTCAAGAAGTGTTATTTATATGAGTACATGTAAAGAATTATACTTTTAGGGCTATTTTCTGTAAAATGTTGAAAGAAAGCAAGTTTATTTTCTAACAGCACAGTGTGGTTTAACTGTGATGTTAAATGTCAGTTCAGAAACAAGCTCTATTTAAAAATATTTTAAGTTCAACACCTCCCTCTAGTGGAACAAAGAAAAACTTGCTCAATTTTCAATATCTTTAGTATGATTTTGTTACACACACACACACATACACGCAGACACACTTTTTCACTGTAAGGATACAGGAGCTTTGGTTTGATTAGAAAACAAATTGTGTAACAAAAATTTAAAAAATTTATTTGGGAGGAGGGAAGTTAATCTTGATATATGATTAATCTTGACTTGATCTTGATAATCTTGACTGCATGAAGTATTTTATAACTCTTGGAATTTTCTTGCATATTATAATGTACCCCAGACGTGGATTATATTGATTAAACCATACATTTATAACAAATATTTGAAAATACAAAAAGTAATAGGGATTAATATATAATATATAATTAATACCAATATAATGAACCAATACAATTAACATAGCCAACACTTACCTTCTAGATCATGTTAGTGTTTGTCATATATGACTCAATTGAAAACAAACAATAAATTTTGTATCATTGAAGAGTGAATCACTTCACCATCTCACCACCACCTTAGCCCCTCAAAAAATAACCATCATTTTGAGGTTGGTGTTTAATTTTCTGTCTGTAAAGATTGATAGTATTTTTTTTTTTAGTATTTTGTGTGTTTAAAAATATAATAATTTCTAAGAGCTATTTAAAAATATACATACAGTACATTCAGTATGAATCTTCATCCAACTTGTCTTTCTCACTTGTGTTTTAACCAAGGTGATAAACTAGCTATGGTTCATTCAATTTAGCTGCTCTGGAGTATTTTATCCTATGTACATACCATAATTAGTTTATCCATTACTGGGTTGATTAAGTTCTTTCCAAGTTTTAATTATTGCAGACAGTGCCTCCATGAACACCAAATATTTTTGTTTATGTGAGATATATTTAGTGGATATGCAATTATTAGGAGGTAAAATATATGCTAAATTGTTCTCCCAAGTGGTTGTGCCAATTTGAGAGAAGTTTCCTTTTCCTTGCAGTCTCTTGAACATTTGGTATTTTTCCAGTTTAGTTTCTTTGCAATAGGAGGTGTCTCTTCTTGCTTGAATTTCTATTTCCCTGGCATTGAGCATGTTATGTTTATTGGCCATTGATGTTTCTTAAAATTTTGTGAACTGCAATTTTATATTTCTTTCTATTTTCCTTTTGGATTGTTTGTATGTTCTTACTGATCTATAGGAGTTTTTAAAAATATATTTAGTTACTAATCCTTGGTTATTTAAATACCCATGGCAAACATCTTTTTCCTCTGTGTGGAGACATGGAGACGATTTACATTTTGTTTGAGGGTACAGTTTTAAATTTTAATGTAGTTGAATTTATCAGTCTTTTTCTTTATTAATAGTGCTTTTTATGTCTTATATAACCCCAAGTCATAAAGAAAAAATATTTTTTCTGTATAGAGCATGAAGTGGGGTCTAATTTTATTTTTTCCGAATGGATAACCGAAAGTCCCTATACTAGTTATTCAGCTGTCTGTTTTCTTACCACTTAATGATTTATAATGTTATTCCTTTCTCATATCAAGCTCCTATATATCTAAAGTTTGGTTCCTGGCACTCTCTTCTATTTCACTTGCATGTTTGTCTGTTTCTGTATCAA